TTCCCAAGTGGAATCTGCAGAGAAAAAACACTGATTCCAAAAAGAAGACTGTGCAAACAACACACAGTTCCAAGATAAATAAATCTATCCAAACCAACTAAACTGTCTCCCAGGTTAATCAAAGACTCCTTTCCTAGTGAAATCTAGCTTTCAGAAAACGTAGGATGTCCATATGTCAAAGACTTACAATTAAAATGATCTTCAGCATTTAAAAATTTTCATTAGCCCAAACACAGTAATGAACAATTTATCTCTTGCAAATAGATTAGAAGAATCTTCGAAGATGCAAAATGTCTTCACCTCATTCTGCAAAATCCAACCTGACTGATGACCAAAGTCTGTCCGCTCACCCATTCGCCTTCCGCCCCACCCCGGCGCCTTTTCTGGACTCTGTGTGATTTGCCTACGAGGGCAAAACCCTTATAAGCAAAAAGAAGAATATACTGAACCTCTTCTCGCCCCACGCCTGGTTTCCTTTAGGTCCCCTCACTGACTTTTCTTTGGCCCCACAGCATGGGGGCGCAGGCCATCTGCAGGGCTGGCGATACAGACGTTCATGAAGCCTTTACAAGTGACCACACAAACACAATACCACAATGCAGGTCAGCGTGTGCATTCACAGGCCAGCGCGAAACTTACATGGAGGTAAACTAGAGACATGAATTTAAAAGGGTAGGATTCCACCCAATGATCCTAAAATTATTTCAAGGAATCAAGCCCCAAGAATGCATCATGAAATCAGAAGAGCATCAGAGGGGAAAGGAGAAAGAGAAAGTGTTAAAGAAAAAATACAACTTAGCAATCCAGTTCAGAAAGAAGAATACCCCCAGGAACATACAACATCTGTTTAATATTACAAGCCAACTGTCAACATCCTAAGTGAAGTTTTAATTTAATATTTTTTCTTTCTTGATGTTTTACCTTTAATCAATGCCTCATGAGAGTATCAGCTTTCTATAAGAAACTGTTAAAGATAAAGAAATGTTATTGTAGCATGTTTATAAAATCATAGTTCGAGAACTTTTTATTTTTCCAAAGCCTGACCACAACTTAATTATCTGCAGGACATTCCAGGCTCACAATTGCAAGCTCCAGTTCCCAAGCAATTTTAAACAATATCTACTGTACAGGACAGAGGGCACACAACAGACCGCAACATGGTTATATTTCCAAAAGCCAGCATTAGGCCCTTTAGACATGGTTTTTATTTTCATTAAACAATATTTGTTTCCTCACTAATCATTAAATGGTTTTCATCACTATTGCCTGTTTTCCTTTCACATGTCAGTTGCTAGTATCAGTGTTTGTGTTCGTAATAAATAAAAAAGTGACCCACCCAGTTATTTAAAAATGAACACACACGCTGTCTGGTTCCATGATGTTGGAAGTTCAGATACTCGCACCCTGCACACTGTTACTCTGTAATCTAGACTTTAACAAACTTTAATGGAGTCACAGACTCTGTACAATAGTCCTTCAAACCAGATCTAAGCTCCGTGCCTGCTTATGTTATTGTGGGCAAATAAATCTAATCAGTGGTTCAAGACAGTTACTTGGGAAAATGGAAGAAGAAGAAGAAAAGACAGCAAGTTCATATTCCTGACCATAATGGGGAGGAGCTGAAAATACTGCCAATTCCTCCAGATGGATGAGAAAAGTAGCCTGATTAAAAGTAACATGCCAGGAACTGGCCAAAATGTGGGGAGCAACTAACAGCATTCCAGAACTTTAGGAATGATTCTGGGGAAGGAAACTTTAAAAAATAAAAAGGAGAAAGAAGGGAAAGCTGTATGCTAAGAGGTATTATGAACGATTTAAAAATATGTGAAGTGTATAAGAAACAAAGAAAAGCACATCAAAGTCAGAGGTACCGTTAATAGCCATCAGAAAAAAATAATCCAATCAATACTCTGGAAAACCCTCCAGAAGTCAGCACTTGCGTTGCTGCACTAGAACCAGCTGAGTTTTCAGAAGATTATTAGAGTTCAAATAAACTAACTGTGGATTTCAGATTAACTAGCCAGTGACCCAGAAACACAGACAGATGCACAGATGCAGGGCACACAGATGTGTTTCTTGGTTTCTGGGTTTATTTAGCAAACACTTTATAGCACTTCCTATGTGCCAAGCACTTTCAAAGTGCTTCACTCATTGAATCCTCCAAAATTAGGTGCTACTTTATTCCCATTACACAGATCAGGAAACGAGGGTAAGTAATTTTCCCACAAGTCACACACAGGTAGGCAGAAGAGCCCAGAGTCCATACCACAAGCCATCCCAGCTGACATTACCTTTATCAAGGTCAGAAGAGGTCGCCGATATGGAAGGACCCAGATAACTAACTTCTCCACAGCCCCTTTCTCTGACACCTGAGCCTCTGCCAGCCTCTCAAATGCTGTTGCCCAGGAATTACTGGCCAACGCTCCTTCCTCAAGCCTTCACCCTCCACCTCCATGTCTCTTGATCTGCAGCTCCAGCTCAGAAACTTTCCTGAGGTCTATTTCTGTATTTACAACTGCCTCATAAACATGTGTCCACGGTGTTCAGCAAGCATCCCAAATAACATAAACTGAACTTATATTGACCACCTAGTCACCCACACTGGGTAAGGAATCTAGAACCGTTGGGGGGGAAAAATTTATATATATATATATTTAAATTGAATTCAGAGAGGAATGGAGAGGGAGAGAGAGATAGAAACATCAATGATGAGAGAGAATCACTGATCGGCTGCCTACTGCAGGCCCCCCTACTGGGGATCAAGCCCGCAACCTGGGCAAAACCAGCTAAGGCTAGAACCGTTGATTTTCATCTCCTATGCCCAACAAGTCCCAAATCCTGTCAAATGCACCTGGAAACCTGTCCTCTGTCCCTGTAGCCACTGGTTTAGTTCAGGCCTCTCTGTGTCATGACTGGACTTGAGAACTGCAATAACTCAACTGGTCTTCCCTCTTGCTGGTCCTACTCACCTCCGCTGAGCCCACCAACGGCCAGCAGAATGGCCTTTCAAAAACCCACACCTGATCCTGCCAGGCTCC